AATCCCTCTGTGAGCTATGGGAGAAGACCTTCTTTTGTGGTGGAGCAGCAGAGACGGGAGGCAGAGAGGAGCGACAGAGGAGTAGCTGAGAAAAGCTGAGGGGCAGCGGCAGAGAGGAACAACAGAACAAAGCAAGCAATGTTATAACACTTCTGTCAGGGAAAACAGTCCCTTGACAGAGCAGAGTTGTTACACTCTGCCCCTGGGGTCGGGGGAACTGAGTGAAACTGTAACGACTTCGCAGGAGAAGCCCTTTTCTGCCAGAGCAGAGCTGTAACACTGTGCACTCCACCCCACCCCCCGCATCCCCCAAACAGGGCTGTAAGCTGCTGCACTTACTGTGACCTGTGGTATTCCTTGGCTCCCGAGCTCCTGGATACCTTTCCATCTGAGCTGTGTAACACTCAGTATTCTGTGACTTCCGAGTTCCAGAATACCTGTCTCATCCAAGCCACCCAAATACTTACACTTGGTGCCATGACTCAGATAGGATCTCCCGGTGTCGTGGTCTGAACCACACTGGTTCCAGTCATCCTGCAGCAGACTTTCCTTCCAGATCACCAAACGCACAGTACTCCACCCACCATCAACAATTGGGTAGGTTTCCCCTTCAGTCAGTGTCTCAGCTCCCTGAGTCAGAGGAATAGTGCCTGCACCCCTCTGGTACTATTAGAGGCGGAGATTCCCCCAGGCAAAGAAGGCCCTTAAGGCTACAGTTGACCCTCTACACCTGACCCCACTCTACCACCCTTGGAAATTGCAATCCTGCAGTTTCACTAGACCCAATTGGGTCATTGCACCCCCTCCAGACCCTCTTTCCTACCCCTTCCAGTGGATGACATCTTAGAGCTTGGTTTTCGTCTACAGCCTTCTGGCCTCTACGAAAGCCCTGGTACCAGGGCTTGTTTGATATATGAGAATAAAAGACCTATAATTATAAAACTGTCCTTTCAGAAGGAATGACAAGATTATACTCAAAACAAACAAAAAAAAGAGATCACTGGCCAGTGCTCACCCTGAAATTCCAGACCCTCAATTGCTAGTAGGAGAAAATGGGTTGGGTGTGGATGATTGTTTCAGCAGAAAGGGAGAGTTTGACTTAAAGCATTCTCCTGGCTCAACATTGTAGAAATAGCTTTGACCGCTAAACTCATTTCATTCCCATTATAAAAAAATCAATATCTATTAGGATAACTTAGAGACCATTTTGTTTTCTACAACTGTTGATTGAATGTAAATCTGAATCAGAGTGAGGAAATGAAGCAAGTGTGAGATTAAAACATTTTTTTAGAGAATCACTGTATGATTTGTATTATACACCATGTAAAGCATTTTTTTTTTTTTACTCTATCTGCTTTATAAGACACAAAAATTTTGACACAAGTTTTTTCCCAGTTTTATGTGTCTATTAGGATATGTGAGAGATGCTAGGTTGGATCTATGGAGCCCATATTAGATACTGCCCACCACACAATAATACTCCTTAAATCCTGCCGAGCAACCTTGAGTGCACTCACTGCTCTGGACTCTATACTAGGTCTCCCAGCCCACAGCATCTGTATTGGAGGCCAGAGAAGTCCTCAGGACCCAAAGACAGAAACTGCCCACCACCCAATAACACTGTTTTAATCCTGCCTAGCATCCTTAGAATGCATTCACTACTTCAGACCGTACACTACTTCTCCCAGACTGCAGCATCTGTATTAGAGGCCAGAGTGTTCTTCAGGACACAAAGCAGACACTGTTCACCACCCAATAAACCCCTTTTATCCAGTCCAACAACCTTAACTACACCCTGACCCTTGAGTCCTATATCTCAGCCTACTACTTGTAGAAATGTTTGACTATTTCTAAACAGAAAGGGAATGGGATTAGGGTTGGCAAAATCTTTGCCAGACTGGCTCCTCTTTTAGCATTATTCACCTATGGAACAAATTCACCAGTGGAAACATGCTGTTAATAAAAAGAGGAGCCAGTCTGGCAAAGATTTTGCATTCCACATAAGCTTTTGTAATTTAAGAAAAGCAGTGCTCCAAAGAAAGACACCAGGTGACAGAGTTTAAGCAGGTTTTTTTTGTCTGTTTTTCCTTTTTATTAAAATTAGAAACAAGCGTCATTTACATGTCAATCCTAGTTCCCTCACCCACCCCTCATCTCCTGCCCACCATCAACCCTAACCCCAATCCCTTTCAGCTCCCTAGCAACGGTGAGGCCTTCCATGGGCAATCTTCAAAGTCTGTCATATCATTTGGAACAGTGCCTTGTCCCTCCCCTGTGTGTCTAGGCTGAGACAGTATTCCAGAAGGGTTTTTTTTTTTTTTTTTTTTTTTTTTGGGAAAGGGATCACAAAATGCAAAAGGGAGGGAACAGTCCAGCATTCATGGACAGGAGCTGTAGGAGAGAGAAAAGAGGGGCAGAGACAGACAGAGAGAGACAGGGGCAGAAAGAGACATAAGACACCAAGAGGGAGTTAAAGAGAGAGAGGAGGATTGGAGGTGGTCAGGGCCCTTTTAAAAGGGAGCATAGTGAATATACACTGGTGGTCCTCTAAGTGGCTGCAGCTGAGGGCACATCCTTTCAGAACCCCAAGGGCAGGCCAGTAGAGATGGCTGAATACTAAAGGCTGTCATCCTTAAGTCTCTTTTAGCTTTGGCTGAGGTTATGCTTTGGAAAATTTAAATAGGGATAAGAGAATGCAAGTCTAAACATTTAGGATGATCAAGCAAAAGTATCTTTTAGATTATGTATTATGATATCATATACATATCATATATCATAATATATGAATTAAAAGATAAATTATAATGTATGGTGTAAGAGATACATTTAAAAGAGTTGTCAGTACCACAATCCACACACATAAAGGCACATAGAACACAAATACAAAAAAATGGGAAACACACCTATTCACAGTGTGAGTGATATTCTTAAATGAATAGCTATTCTGAGAGATTCTTTCATCAGAATAAGGCTTTTTTTTCTCCTCTAAACAAGCTCCCTCAGAGGAAGGCCACGGTTCCTTCTATGAAGAACCAGAAAGAATTTATTTTAACTAGTAATGACAGCTGTCTGTCTCAAGGCTATGGACATTACTGTACAGAATTTCTATTTTAAGCTTTATTTCATATATATGTGTTTGTCCATATTTGGGTGCTTGCAGTACCTGCAGAAGCCAGAAGAGAGAATCAGATCCTTTGTAACTGAAGTTACAGAAGATGATTAGAAACTATGGTTTCTAGCAATGTAACCTGTGTCCAGTGCAACAATACCCAGTGCTCTCAGTTGTTAAACTCACTCTCTAGCCACATTTTTATACATTTATTTTTATACATTTTATTTAAAATATATTGCATCACTTTTCCTCTTTCTTCCCAATTTCTTCTCTTCTTATTTCTGTTAAGTATGTGTAAATTAAATATGTGTAAGTATTTGAGTAAAGTCTGCTGAGTCCATTTCTGTTGGTGGTTATGGTTTAGGATTTTTTAGTTTTTTACTTATTTACTTTTTTGAAACAGGGTTTCTCTGTGGCTTTGGAGGCTGTCCTGGAATTAGTTCTTGTAGACCAGGCTGGTTTCAAACTCACAGAGATTCACCTCCCTCTGCCTCCTGAGTGCTGGGAGTAAAGGTGTGCACCATCTACACTGGCTCTGGATTCAGGGTTTGACATGATGTTTTGGATAGAAAAATAAGGAGATGATTTCTTCCTGATACTATTTGGAACACTGATGAAGACATGAGGTATTTAATCCACCCTTGGGTCCTAAGAGGTTTGGATAGAAGGCAAGAGTCTGCACAGCTAATTATTAAACCAAACCATATATTAAAAGTTGTTCCATCTCTAAAAGCCTCCCCCAATCTCAGCCTCTTATACTGCTGTAAGACGGTCAGATAAGGCATAAATGTTGCTTCAGTAGAGAGATTCTCATCTGGAGGAGTCAGTCCTTTCCCTCAATGAAATTCCCAGGGAAATGAGGATTTCATGGTGTCTATTGTTTCACTAGATGTTAGTCAAAGGGGGAGATATAAATGTCACTTAGAATAAGCTTAGTCATGTGAGTCAGGCAGGCACAATGATTGCCAGTGTGGAGACTGAGGAGCAACATGGTCCCAATGGGGAATGCAGAGTACTGTCACTGACTGCTGTACAAGTTGACAAAAAAAATTAAAGAGTGGAAGAACTGGCGGGGGCTGACCCATCACAGCTAAGTGGAAACAGAGTACAGTTTATGGAAGCTTGTCCTCACTTACAGCTGAAGAAAGCTCTCTGGCATTTGATCAATGTGCTTTCAAACCCTAAGCAACCTCCCTAAAATGTCTTCAAATCACCAAATCTCCCTTAAGTACCTTATTGTCTGATCCTTAGAGTAACTTCAAGTATCAGGATCTCCTCACAATATGGAAGTCATCTATAGTCACAACCATTCAGAGCTCTAAACTGAAAGTTTTGCGGGCATCAGGGAAGTAGAATATGAGCCCATTCAGATAAGTCAGACTTCACGCCTGCATGTTCCTATTCTCTCCTCACAGGAGGTATAAACACAAGTAGGGGTGCATCTCACATGTGAGCATGTGGGCTATCATTGATGCCTATTTACCACATGGGAGACAAATTCACTTTGTTTTGGTTAGTCAACCATCTTTTAAAGACTTTTATTATCAGCTTCTCTATTGATAATTTATTTTGTAATTTTCCCTCATTTTGTGGAGACGTGGGCTTGGAAAATTCCATAAGCACCAAGTCTAAGTTAGTTTCTGATGCAATCAATCATATATTTCTTCTGAGGCATCAGGACTGAGATAAAGATGAAGGTGGATCAGGCAATTACACTTATTGCTAATAATGACAAATTCATGTGGATGAATAGAAGGCTCAGCACTTAGAACACTGAATGCTCATCCACAGGGACAGGTTTTGATTCCCAGAACCAACATCTCTACCAGATGAAAGAAAACACTCTTTTGAATACACACATGAGGCATTTAATGTTTCTTATGTTATCTTTTATTAAGCATTTTGACATTGACATTGCTAAATTATGTTGAAAAAACAGTACATATTGGGAGTATACCATCTACACTTGGACTTGTACTCAGGAGGTAGACACAGGAGGATCACTAGTTCAAATGTATCACTCATCATTACTGACATCCAAGACAGGCTGAATAATAAACAAGAAAATCTGAAGGGTATTTGTGAAAATTTAAAAACATAACCAAGAAAAACAAACCACAACACTTTCAGAAAAATTCTTATTTGAAAGGTATGATCACACACTTCCTTATATTAAAAACAAAACCAAAACAAACAATGGACCACTTAGATGATGGGGCTAACATTGTATACACTGCAGCAGAAAAATACCTAACATTAAACAAAAGTACAAAATTAACAATAGCTACAGAAGGAATATAAGGACAACAAAATAAGCTTCACTAAATGGATTTGCCACACAAATAGCACACTTGAGCATGCACATCAAGTATTTCAGAATAGAAAGCACACTGCAATGAACTCCAAAACAAGTTCCAACTCTGTTCTTCAAGATGCACCTTTAGGAATGTGAGTTCTTAGACCCCTGCTTTAGCTGTCACGCAACTTTCAATTTGATGCTGTATCCCTCTGAAGCCAAGGGCCAAATAAAAGTCTTTCATGAGGTGACATAGATATTATAATACAAGCAGAACAGAAAATCATACAAGTCCATAAGTTTTATACCTGAATTAGTTATTTCATGCACTTGAAGAGAAGTGTAAATCTAAAAGGGACTCATTATCATTTAAGATCATTGTACAAGTGTTACAGCTATGGACAAAAGGTAATGGAAGTGTCATAAGTCGGGCTACACATACAGCTTTGAAGAAAAGATGCCCTCGATACTTGCATCTCTGAATAGAAAGGTATCCTGACTATTAGAAAGTCATGTGTACCTGAATCTTTGGAGGGGAATGTATCCTGGATAACTAGGGCTCTGAAGAAAAATCCACCCTGACTGTCCAATATCAGGCTACACATGTGGCTGTGAGGGGAAGGTATCATTCCCACACATGTGAGGAAAATGTATCTTGACTGTCAATCTATACATGAAGTTGTATTCCAGTGGGGGATGCTCTATGTTCCGATGTAGAACTTGTTCTCCTCTAAGAGAGAGAAAGAGAGAGAGAGAGAGAGAGAGAGAGAGAGAGAGAGAGAGAGAGAGAGAGAGAAAGAGAGAGAGATTTACTCTACCCTGCTAAGAGAGGTTGTCTATAGAAGTGTGCATTGCTTTTGCTCTTCCCTTCTCCACTAGGGAGTTTCCAAGCAATGATAGCCATGTCTTCTTAGATTCAGCCAAATTTGCTGCTTCACTCGACTACGAGGGAAACTGCTCCAGAAACGTAGCAGTCTCCTGCAGCGCCAGTGAGAAGATTTTTCTTCTGCTTTGCTCCCCTAAGGGAGTTTCCTGGGGAGTTTTATATCTACTCTGGCAAAAGAAGGTCTTCAGTGAAACTCATTGCAAAGGATTTATTTGGGAAGGAGGAATCCAGGAAAGTGGCTGCCACTACCAGTGTGGAAAGTGCCAGCTGCCAACTGAACAAGCATGGGGTTTATATATGTTTTCTTAGTATTTCATGGAGAATACTTTTCAGCACGTTAGTTGGCTGGGATTAAAAGCATGTGCCAACAACACCCAGCATGTATGCGTTCTTCTTTACGTTTGAAGCCTACTTTTACCCGCAAAGGCTTTACCACACTGTTTATATTCATAGGGTTTCTCTCCAGTATGTGTTCATTTATGCATATGAAGAGCACTCTAATGAGCAAAGGCTTTACCACGTTGATTACCTTCATGGTGTTTCTCTCCAGTATGTGTTTTTTTATGTCTTCGAAGATTACTATGACATGTGAAGGGTTTACCACACTGATTACATTTATAAGGTTTCTTTCCAGTATGTGTAGTTTTATGCACTTGAAGAGAAATGTGATGAGCAAAGGACTTTCCACACTGAGAACATTCATAGGGTTTCTCCCCAGTATGTGTTCTTTGATGCATTTGAAGACTACTGTGCTGAGTAAATGCTTTACCACACTGTTTACAATCATAGGGTTTCTCTCCAGTATGTGTTCTTTGATGCACATGAAGAGCACTATGATGAGAAAAGGATTTACCACACTGTTTACATTCATAGGGCTTCTCTCGTGTATGTGATCTTTTATGTATTTGAAGATTACTGTGCTGAGCAAAGACTTTACCACACTGATTACATTCATAAGGTTTATCTCCAGTATGCGTTCGTTTATGTATTTGAAGATAGCTGTGCTGAGCAAAGGCTTTACCACACTGATTACATTCATATGGTTTCTCTCCTGTATGTATCCTTATATGCATTTGCAGGTGATTGTGCTGAGCAAAGGCTTTACCACACTGATTGCATTCATAGTGTTTCTCTCCAGTATGCATTCTTTTATGTCTTTGAAGATTATTGTGCTGAGCAAAGGCTTTACCACACTGATTACATTTATAGGGTTTCTCCCCAGTATGTGTGATTTTATGTATTTTCAAATGAGTGTGCTGAGCAAAGGCTTTACCACACTGATTACATTCATACTGTTTTTCTCCAGTATGTGTTCTTTTATGTCTTTGAAGATTACCATGCTGAGCAAAAGCTTTACCACACTGATTACATTCATAAGGTTTCTCCCCAGTATGTGTTATTTTATGCATTAGAAGACAACTGTGATATGCAAAGGCTTTACCACATTGATTACATTCATAGTGTTTCTTTTTTGTATGTGATTTTTTATGCATTTGCAGATGACTATTCTGAGTAAATACTTTACCACACTGATCACATTCATAATGCTTCCCTCCAGTATGTGTTCTTTTATGCCTTTGAAGATAAATGCTATATGCAAAGTCTTTAGCACATTGTGTATATGCAGAAGGCTTCTCTCCAGTTTGGCTTCTTTTAGGCCTGCAAGGAAAATGGACACATGTAAATGTTTTATCATATTCAATACAATGTTGTACTTTGATACATGTATAAATTAACACTACAATTTGTTTAAATTGCAAACAAGAATCCGATATTACAATTTCATCATTGTGCTCACACTCATGTTTCCTCTTCTTTAAGGGTTGTTTTGCTTTTTTGAAAATACCTGTGAAGGTACAATCCTTTATTATATGGTTCTCATTTTCAGATCTTTTCTTTCTTTCTTTCTTTCTTTCTTTCTTTCTTTTTTTTTCCTGAGACAGGGTTTCTCTGTGTAGCTTTGGAGCCTATCCTGGCACTCACTCTGGAGACCAGGCTGTCCTCAAACTCACAGAGAACCACCTGCCTCTGCCTCCTGAGTGCTGGGATTAAAGGTGTGCACCACCAATGCCTGGCTCAGATCCTTTTTCTACAGGTGATTTTTCACATATTGAAGAGAACTGGAAAAATGTTATCACCCTTATTGTATTATTAAATTTTCCTTCACTTTGAGTCATATTATGTTTGCAAACTGAAGTAGAACAAACAGAAGTATTTACACATGCCTAATTGCATAGAGATTTTCTGCAGTGTAAGCTTGTGTATTATTAATGAAGCTGGAAACAAAATAAATTGTACACTTGAATCAAATTCTACAAGTATGTTCAGCATGGGGCTACAAGGCTTTTAAATATTCTGTAAGAGAGGCATACAATACCCTCCATATTCCTTTGCTCACATGGCTTGTATCCTGACTAGTACATGATATACCTCTTAAAAGAAAGATTACAAAGAAGAGGTTTCCACATTTAATTCAGGTTGACTTTCTGTTCCTTATAGACATGTGCTAGAGAGATTAAGGTTTCTCTATAATAACTGCCCCTTGGCTCTTGACAATAATTGCCCTATCATTAAACTTAGAAACATAACAGCAAGTAGCACTAGGTTTTCCATGGAGTATTTGACTAATAGAAGGCTTTGGAAATATACTTATCACCTCAACCATGTATATACACTTAGTAATATAGGTTGTATGTACTTTTAGTAATATAGGTAGTATGAAATAAATGGCTTTACAATCCTACAGCATAGCTCTTATGGTGCAATGATTTAAGTGGTAATATTTATCAAGCCATTGTTTCCTTGTCTTCTGGGTAAAAGGAATGCCTTGCAAATGCAGTTCACCTACCTGAAATTGAGGTATGTGGTTTTGTGAGAATTTAATAATCGTCAATGTACTTTAAGGTGTGCTCATTTACACCGTTGGTTCTGTTTGAAACTTCCAGGACACATTACAATTTCATATATAAAAATTACCTTTCTTTTCTTTTAGAACTTGCACAATGTTCTTCAATACTACAGTCTTCCCAAGTGTATCCTAAAACACAGTACCAGAAAATGTATATTATATTATTGAAAATTGTGCAAAATTTAAGTTCTTCAGTGAACTGTAGAACTTTGACTGATTTATTTAACATATTCTTTTTCTCTCTCAATAAAATTAAAGATGAACATCAGTAACAAGGAACAGTTTTCCTATTATTTTAAAATATGAAGGAAAATACACTCTTACCTATATCAGTGAGGTTCTTGTAGGTCTCCAGCATCACATCTTTGTAGAGATTCTTCTGAGAAGTATCCAACAATGACCACTCTTCCGAAGTGAAGTTGATTTGTACATCATCATAGGTCAAGGCAATCTAAAATATCACATACATGTGTGCAACTGCAAGCATCATACTGACAATATTGTAAATTTACATTTCTGTAGAGCATCATTTTAAGATGTGTTATTGTTATGCTATAGAACATTGTTTAATGATGGAAATATGTGTTGCTTTTGTTTATGCTGTATTAGTTTAACTCTGTGAAGCTGTGTTTCTTGGCCTGACTACAACACTTGATATTCTGATAAAAAGATGATCATCCAATAGAGAGATAGGAGAAAGGGTAGGCTGTGGTAGCAGGAACAAAGTATATGTCGTAGGATTAATCTGGAAGCAAGGATGAAGGGGCAAGAGAAGAGGAGGAGGAGGGTAAGGGCCAGCTACACAGTCACACAGCAAGTCGTGGAGTAGGAGGGAAAGTAAGATATACATAAATGGAGAAAGGTAAAAGTCTAGAGGCAAAAGGTAGATGGAATCATTTAAGTTAAAAATTGGCTAGAAATAAGCCAAGTAAAGGCCAGGCATTTTAAGCAATAACATCCATCTCTGTATCAATTTCTGACCTGCAATGTGCCCTCCCCCAAAGGTAAAGAATAAAGAGCTAAAAGAGTGAAACATTAAGCAAAACTTCTGTACCCAAGATGGAGGTATATTACCATGTAAGGCCTGAGAAAGCTGAAAAAAAAAATTTAACTCCTCAATGAGTTTCTGCCTACTTGTGAGCCTTTGAACAGCCAATACACTAAGTAGCAATGATTAACCTCAGTTAAAATGATTGCCACAGCACAGTTATGGGAATGCTAGAGCTCTAGGAAGGGTAGTTCTTTGTTACCTCCCTCTAACTGGACTGTGAGTTTTAGAATTTGGTCTCACAAACGCTGAAGTGAGTATAGCCAAGTCAGCTGTGAGAGCATGCAGAAGATCCATGTGTATATTAGCAGTGTAATATTTGCATTGGCAGTAAAAAGACTAAAATGCATACAGTTAATTAAGTCCAGATGTAAATGGAATTGAAAGAGGGATTGTTATGTATAGACTCCTTTACTTCAACAATCCCTCACACAAGTCAGAAGAACAGACAGGCAAACTGAGGCAAAGACACCCTTCTGGACCAGAGTTGTTGCCAGCTATATGAAATACACATTGGTCCCTCTCCAGTGGGTCTTCTCCATTCTTTTAATAATCCCTAACACTATTTACATTCCAGTTCTCTCCTCATCTCTGTGTTGTAGCCTCCAACTTTAGAGGAATCCCTGTGCTCAAACAAAGGATACACCATCTGCCAGAAGTCCATATGGGCCAACGGACCACAGAACGCGCCCAGTGTCTCCATGCTCCCTCAACACTATCAACACGTTCTCTCCTCTCCTCTCTTATAACAACTTCAAACATTTGCAGATATTCCCTGCTGGAACAAAGTCCACACCTACAGCAAGATTTCCAGCCCCCAAATTAGGGTAAGAAGCTATGTTCAATCAAAGACCCTCAGATCAGAAGATCATAGAGCAAATAGAAGTCAAGAAAAAAAACACACTTCCAACAAAGAAAAACTGAGAAACCATAATTTTGAGGTGACCTGCAATCACCTCAAAACAGAATAACCAGAAACCAGCATAAAAACACAACCAACAGCTTCCAGAGCAAAGAGTCAATACCAGATTACAGCTGTCATACAACAGCAAGGAATGAATATTCCAACACAGATGAAGCACAATTAAGACCATATGTATAAAGATGACAGTAGTCCTGAAAGTTGAAATGAATTAATCCCGTAAAGAATTCTGTGATTAAATTAAGTAAAAGCTACTCCACTAATGTATTGGTTTTGTTGTTACTCTTAGGCCAGTGTCTATCTTTCTGGGAGGTTATGAGAGATACTGAAGTAAAGCACTGAAGGAAAAACATGCGGAACTATTGTTTCTTGATTTTCTCTATTGCTTTGTCACTGTCTTGTATTCAGCTAGATTTCTTAAGCAGCCCAGTGCCACTTGCTAAGAGACATTGCCAACTCAGTGGAAGTCTTCTTCCCACATCAACCACCAGTCAACACAATCTTTTTAAGGCAGAAACAGACATTCTGATCTAAGAACACAGTCGATGTTTGCTCAGATGACTCTAGGATTTGTCATGTTGACATCTGAGGCTAATTAGGAGAAAAGGACAATAATATATGAGAAGGTTTCAAAAATCCAAACTCAATGTATTAATCATATAAATCATTTAAGCAGCAAAGAATCAAACATAAAAAAGCAACAACTGGAAAACACAGATATGTCATTATGCCAGTAAATGGGAAGAGGCAAGCATCTAAGATGAAGACAACAACAACAACAAAACTAAAACTATCTCTCCACAGCAACTTCCCCTGAAAAAAAGCCTTTAGGAACTGATAACATAAGAAATTTTATGAATACGATTTGGTGAAGGTCCAACATTTTTAAGAAAATGAATATAACTAGGTTACCACTATAGATTACAGAAAATCAGTACAAAGATTCACATTATATGAGGTCTATACTTGTCACAATGATACAACAATCAAAAATGTGTAAACTATTTTTGAAAGAATGAAGGGGTTGGTGAGAAAAAAGCCAAGAAATAAGGCAGGGAAAATATTGTCAACTTTTAATCAAAAGAGCAAAGAAAATGTAGGAAAGGAAAAGTGTGATCTTAGCCATTGTTACCCAGCTCCCTATAATTCTGTGTGTAAAAATTAAATAAACACAGACTTCACAAGGCTCAAAATGACCCTTAAACTGTTGTTTCTGACCCTCGAGCTACTGATATTTCTTCCAAAAACAGATGCACCATGCTCTAGAACTCTCTCCAGAAATGGAGGTGATCTCTTGCTATGGATTAGAAAGTTCTTATAATTTCTTTTGTTTTAGGTAAATAAAACCCCACTGATTCTCAATCACAAAACATCATAGAAAAATAATTTAAAAGACAGGTGACCAATGGAATCAAATTGAAACCATGATATGGACCCACATACCCACAAACAACTAATGTTGGAAAATGAAGCTAAAATTATATAATGTAAAAAAGAAAGCATCTTCAGCAAATATTGCTGGCATAACTGGGTACTGGCATGTAAAACACTGTAGACAGATCCATATTCATCACCATGCACAAAACTTAATTCCAAATGGATCAAAGATTTCAACATAAATCTAGCCACACTGAACCACTTAGAAGAGAAATTAGAAGATACCATCTAAGAATTTGTCTTGTAGACCACTTCCTGAACAGAACACCAGTAACATAGACACAGAGATCCACAATTAATAAATGGGACCTCCTGAAACTGAGAAGCTTCTGTTAAGTCAAAGGACACAGTCAACAAAACAAAACAGAAGCCCACAAAATGGGAACTATATATTTATCAACCCCACATTTGACAGAGGGCTGATTACCAAATTATACAAAGAACTCAAAAAGCTCATCAGTAAAACACCAAGAAATCCAAATAAAAATTGGGATATAGAATTAAGACTTCTCAATACAGGAATCTAAAATGGCTGAAAGACACTTAAGAAAGTGCTCAATGTACTTTACATTCAGGGAAATGCAAATAAAAACAACTCTCGGTAGCATATTGCTCATGTCAGAATGGCTAAAATCAAAACCACCAATGACAGTTTATGCTGGAGATGACGTGGAGAAAGGAGAACATTGCTCCACTGCTGGTGGAAGTGCAAATTCATACAGCCGCTTTGGAAATCAACAAGACAGTTCCTCAGGAAAATGGAAATCAGTCTATCAAAAGATCCAGCAGTTCTACTCTTAGGCATATAGCCAAAACATGAACATTCACTTAATAAAGACCTCTGTTCAACTATGTTCATTGCAGCATTATTTGTAATAGCCAGAACTAGGAAGCAACCTAGAAGCCCCTAAACAGAATAATGGATAGAGAAAATAAGGTACATTTACACAATGGAAGACTACTCAGCAGAAAAAAAAAACAAAAACAAAAAACAAAAAACAATGCAATCTTAAATTCACAGGCAAATGGATGGAAATAAAAACACATCCTGCATGAGGTAACCCATTCACAAAAAGACAAACATGGTATGTACTCACTTATATATGGGTTTTATACATGGAACAACGGATTACCAGCCTACAATCCACACTAGCTAGGAAACAAGGAGGACACCAAGAGAGATATAAATGATCCCCCAAAGAAGGGGAAAGGGATATGATCTCCTCCGCTACCTGGAAGCATGGGAAGAGTGCACATGGAGTTAGGAGAATGAGAAGGGAAGAGGAGGAGGGGAGAGGAGGACTTAAGGGAGCGGGAAGATTGAGTCAGGGGAAGAATAGAGGAGAGCAAGAAAATAGATATCATCTTAGATGGGGCCATTATACGTTTAAAGAGAATTCTGCAATTAGGGAAATGTCTAGAGATCTAAAAGGATGACACAAACTAAAAATCTAAGCAATAGTTGAGAGGCTTCCTTAAATGCCCTTCTCTGATAATGAGATCGATGAGTACCTTATACGCCATCCTAGACCCTTCATCCTGTAGGTGATGGAAGCAGAAACAGACACCTACACTTAAACACTGAGTCAAACTCCTGGAATCCAGTTCAGATTGATAAGAGGATTGATAAGAAAATGGGTCAAGACTAGGCTGGAGAAACTAACAGAAACAGCTGACTTGAACAAGGGGGAATCTCGTGGCCAATAGATAGCTGGGAAACCATCATAGGACTGATCCAGACCCCCTGAACATGGGTGTCAGTTAGGAGGCCGGGGCAAACTATGGGGCCTCTGGTAGTGGATTAGTATTTATCTCTATTATAGGAATGGAGTTTGGGAACCCATTCCACATAAAGCAAAACTCTCTCAGCCTAGAGACACAGGGGAGGGCCTAGGCGATGCTCCAAATGATATGACAGAATTTGATAATCACTTATGGAAGACTCAACTTCTATGGGGACAGAAAAGGGATTGAATAGAGGGGCAGTGGGGGGAGGAGAGGAGGGGATGGAGAGAGAACTGTGATTGACATGTAAAAC